AGGCTGAATTTTAGATTTTGTTGAAGGCAAACAATGTCACAACTCTGCACATACTCATTGATGGGCTCCAGTGTAAGCCGCTCCTCTATCAGAGTATCCACCGAAACAAGATCATCCACAATCGTCATCATAATCGTCAGCTTCTTGATCCCATACCCAACTGGTACAAGTTTTGCTGCACATTGTACAACAATTTCTAATTACATTGCAATTTTATATGTCTTGATTTGTTGTTAATTAGATCGAGAAATTAAGGAAAGCGTACGTACATGCACCCCACAAAAGTCCTTCCATTTCAACACTGCGAACAGCTTCCTCAAGCTTCTTCATGTCTGTCTCATCATCCCATGGCTTTACATCCATAAGAACAGATGATTTCCCACCTGAATCACAATTCATTTACCAAATTGCATTTTCATATTGTCGTCAAAAGTTATATCAAAAAAAAAAAAAAAAAAAGGAAACTCGCTTTCTTTCTTCTTTGTTGATGCTTTTGCTTCATCACGTGCTTCAGCTGCCTTCTTTTCCTCCTCTGTCTCGTCACCAAAGAGATCCAGGTCATCATCCTCGTCAGCAGCATCTTCCTGAATTATCATTATTTCGTTCTTGTAAATTGACATTTTAAAAAAATTAAATAAATAATAAAAATAAACATCCATACACATTACACACCTTGGCAACTCCATTGGTAACTCCATTGACGAGAGCAGCTTCTGCTGATGGAGCTTGGGAAGAAATTCTCACTCCAGCTGCTTTACCAGGGAAACTGCAATAAATAAATAAGGATACAATCATACAAAACTAAGAATCCACATCACTAAGAAATTGACATCGATACTAATTGATATAACGATCATATCATACATATTAAAAAAAAACGTTTAGATCATATATAATGCGGATCAAATTAAGAACAAACACTGAAGCAACCCGAGTTTTTCAATTACGAAAGTGTGATTATCGGACAAACCTTGTTGCAAGTTTCGAAGAAACGCAATCGTACCACTTGCTGGCAGAGGGATAGAGATCTGCGTTGGGTTTTTCCAAAACAGCAGCGTAAACCTTCACATCATCCTTTGTAATTTGATTCCTGTAACATAAAACGAAATTCAAATTAACCACGAAACATAAGATAAATTAACCTCGAATATACTACGATCGAAAACGATAACTACGAACCCGGAGATGTATGTCTTCCCGGAGAGGAAGGATTCGAGGAATCTGAGGCCAGCCTCGGTGTGAAGATCAGAGAAAGTAATGACAGCCATCTCTTCGATCGGAGTTTCAAGTGAGACAGTGAGGAGATTGTAGGGGAAGAATTGGAGAAATGGTTATTGTTATTCGCTAGAAGAATGCGGAATTTATAGTTACACTGGGAAATGATGATCGAAAAAGTGACGCGTACAAACCCTAAAGCCTCTTCGGCTGATGATAATTATGAGACGTGCCAAATTTTTATTGAGCTATTAAGGAAAAATATTCTGTATGTTATTCACGAAAATAATACATATGAAAGATTAAGGAAAAATAATTAACGATGCAACACAAAATATAAATATAATTAAAGGATTAATCCGACATTTGTTATCAAAAAAGGTCTAAGATCAGCCTAAAAACAAAGTAAAAGTACATTATATAATACATGCATGGCTTTCCCTTGATGATATCATATTTATAATATATGTAATTTTACTATACTTTTTCAAACAAAGTATCTTCTATAGTAGGTGTAATAGTGGTTTTTTATTTAGCAAATAGCATCTATCTTCTAAGGAATTTATTTATTTCGTTGTTGATGTAACAATGTGTTATATAATTTCAACATCGTTAAAGATTAATTTCACTATATTGTAGGTAATCAGTTGAAAATATATTGCTCGAGTGTCTCACAATATTCTCACATAACGTATTACATGCATGTAGCGTTTCGTATGTATTGGAATTAAATATAAATAATTGGAAATATTTCCTCACCTAAGATATTAAATGCACCTAACATCTTAAGTACATATAAATTAAGTTTGCAGACTCTTACAATATATATTGAATGTTTGGGAACACAATTTTTCATAGGTTTTTTATAATGTTTTTCAATATGTCGCTTTTCAAAAACCTTTGCATGTCGACTTCTTTCATTCAAAGTTACCAAAGGTGGGGTTTAAAGGTCGACCATGTTGTGTAAGTTTATTTATCAGGATGGTAATATTCACTATGAGGTTGTCCGATTTCTTGATATGATTTGCTAAATCCTATTGGTTGGAAAATGATATTTTGATTTAAAATTCTATATTTATTAGTTAAATAGGAGCAACAATGTACATCACTTCATGGGGTGTTGTGGGAGGGCAAAAATGGACAATTGTACGGGAGCCATTTGTTTATTATATATTACATATAAATTTTTATTTAAAATAATAACAATAAGGCTCTTTTTATCTAGCTTCTTAATATTTAATTTTTTAGGATCTGTTTATTATATATTACATATAAATTTTTATTTAAAATAATAACAATAAGGCTCTTTTTATCTAGCTTCTTAATATTTAATTTTTTAGGATCGGTTCTATATCATTTTTTATAATTAAAAATTAAGATTTATTTTTAATTTATATTTTACATAAAAAAACATATTATATGGCAAATATTCATGTTGAAATAAGAAAGAAATGAAAGTTATTATGAATTTATGTTTTAAAATTAATGTAATCATTTACGATTTAATGTAAATATTTGTTTATTTGAATTCATCATATTATTTTTGTTTCTAATACTGTATATGCAAATATACATTTATAAAAGTTGAGTCATTAAAAAAAACACATATACTAGTGAATTGTTACATTGCATTTGATAAATAAGCAAGAAAACCAACTAAATAGTCATTTACAATTTAATGTAAGTATTTGTTTATTTGAATTCATCATATTATTTTTGTTTCTAATATATGCAAATATACATTTATAAAAGTTGAGTCATCAAAAAATAAAAAATACATACTAATGAATTGTTACATTACATTGCATTACATAAATAAGCAAGAAAACCAACTAAATCGTAAGTCAAATGAAACAAGCAATCTCTCGGCTATCCATACAAATATCATACAACACTTGGGAGGAATGTAAAAAAAAAATAAAGTCTCTTCAAAAGAATATCTAAAACCTTGTCTGAACAATGCATGAAAAGAAATAATGTTTTGTGGCATTTCTAACGAGTAGCAACAATTCATCAAATCTAAACTAACACCATTACTAAGCACTAAGTTATAAACTCCAATCGTGGTAACATGTGAAGATCTCCTATTGCCCAAGATTAGGTCCATCTTTGCATGCTCCACATCCCCACTTCTTCTTAGCTCCAATCGTTGTAGTTGGTGCCATCCAATTGCACATTTACGCAAATGTTCAATAGAAAGAAGTTGTTGTTGGAGGAGGAGGAACCAGAAGCATCATTTGGCGTAGTTAGGCATATGAAAGAGTAGAAAAGAAAGTTTTAGTTAGATAAGAATAATCCTCAATATAACACCCCAAATAAAATATCAAGGCTAGGAAACAACTAAATAATTCACAACTTAGAAAAGGAATGTCGTAATTTAATTGTAAATTATATAAAGGTAGGTAAATGACGATTTACCAATTTCACCACCAAAAACAAAATTTGAACAAATTAGGTTTTGAATGAAATTCCAAGATCTTTTGAGAATCATTGAACTTTTCAATGACATGTTTGATCTCGATTATGCTCTTCCATTTGTGATTGGGATGCCGAGGATCACAAACAAGATGTGAATAACCATGCAAATTAGCTTGGTACTCTCGATGCCATTTATCATCCCATGTTAATGTGTCGATTAGTCACATGTGATCCATTAATCAATGATAATTTACGAGACACCCATTGCCATTCTTTATTAGTCTCTATTAGTGTGCCGATTATCCACACACGCTTCACTAACGGCCAATAAAGTGCAATATGTAATTTTATGGATCAGCATACAATTTCATATTTTTCCTAAAGTAACTAAGATTGGAAATTTTATAAAATGTATTTAGTTACTTTATAAATCATTATACTTATTAATGAGGATTAAGTGTCCTATCAAACACATTCGATAAACAACCCTCCACCAATCAAGGAAACGATGAGTGAGAGTGGACACTCATTCAATCGTCATTTTATAAGCAATCTCCTTATACTCCCCTTATAGATCAACTCCGTGAATGAAGCATACTAGCAGTTCGACTGGCTTGTCTTATATATATATATATATATATATATATATATATATATATATATATATATATATATATATATTAGATTTTTAATGTTATATATAATATAATGATGTATTTTTAAAACTTTTCAAAAATACTAGGTTATATTTTAAATTTTCAAAATTAATATTCAATTAATTAAATTAAAAATAAAATCAATCATGAATTCAAGATAAAGATATCAAATTACATTTTAAAATATTCAGGTTTATCTAATGAAAACAATATTGAGGTAATTATCATAATCAATCCATGAGAAAATTGAAAAAAATTAAATTTTTAGGATCTGACAGCTTAACACGTCGTCGTGAGTAATCACCACGTCTTGTTGGGTCGATTTCGCAAGCCAACACGCCGTTTAGGAAGAACTTCACGGCGTGTTTGATGAATAGAATGACGATTCTATTTTCACTTCCTAGTTTAAGTTCACATTAATATCAATTCAAAAGAAAACTAAACATACGCTCTGATACCACTTATGGGTTTTGAGCATAACATACGTGTGCATGAAACCTTAAAATTGATCTACGGTTTCTCTAATTTAACATACCATGTGAACAACAATGTAGAAACCCTAGAACACTAGTATATAATCAAAATTACATAATTAGGTTTACAAAACATACATTTGATTGTTATATAGTAATAACAATCTACATCCTTTAGTGTTGTTGAGACTTTGAGAACAAGCGTCACAATTGTTACGCCTTTAATAGCTCACACCCAACACTAGCAATTGAAGAAGATTATGGAGAACGAGAGAGGAGACAAATTTTTGGCTAGTGTTCTCTAGGAAGAAGTGGCCAAAATCATAGGGTATAAGCCTTATTTATAGTGCAGTTAGGAAACCCTAGATAAGCCCAAATCCAAAATTATCTTAAACCGGGTTATTATCCACTTCCTTGATTATCCATAAGAGACCATTCTAGAAACCTTAAGGCTCTAGAAACCATCCATAGTCAATGTGTGTGTGTGTGTGGGGGGGGGGGGATTACATCTCATCAAAAGTAAAATTAATTAAATTAGGAATTTTATTAATAACAATTACATCTCATCAAAAATAAATTAAATTAAATTAGGGATTATATTAATGACAATTAAATCTCACCAAAAATAAAATGAATAAAATATCCCACCGCACCGCATATTACCAGTATCCCTACACTTTCTCCTCATTTCTTTACACAATCTATCTAACGTAAGTTTTGTACTGGAGAAGAAAATAGGGGAAAGAAGAAATAGAGTACTTGTGGGCTTCGATTTGTATGGATTATCTTGTGTTCGATCATCATGGAAGAATTAGGAATGATATACAGATAAATTTTATTTGGATTCTACTTTAATTTGATCGTAGTTTAGATCGATTTTGGCTAAGTTTTAGATTATGTTTATTTTATTTTGTTTCAACTATGAAGTTCCATTTTATAAAACCTTTTTATTTAAGTTTAGATCGATAATGGTTACGTTTTCTAAATCTGCTTCAATTTTCTTCTTATGATCTGTATTGTTGATTTTGATTTTTTAAGTTATAGGAATCTAAAAGAAAAGAGATGGACACAATAGCACAACTACCTCTCATCCATTGTTTCGATTTGGAAGATATGTTCATTAGGTAGTAAATTTGTATATGTCGATTTTATTTTTTATTTTTACGTTTTTTTGTATATGTGTTTAGTCAATGATTTTTTTTGTGGCTTAGAAATCGTGAATGGAAGATATATCCGAGTCAATGTCTATAATGCTTTACCCATTTGATCACTTCCTTGATTTAGAGATGAAATTCAAACCCTTATACCAATGAATGATTCACATATCCTACAACTCAGTAAAACCTAGTAGTGATATTTGTTTTGATTTATTGTAAAAAACAACTTTTTATAAAAACACAAATTGGTCTCTTAGAATGGAGTTATTCACTGATCCCTTTTTAATATTATAAAACATCTTTTAGACTCAATATTATAAAAGATCTTTTAGTATACCACATGTAAATA